GCCAGCCGCTTCTACGAGAAGGCCCCCATCGTCAGCTCTTACTCCTCTGAGTTTCCCGCCAGCCGCTACTACGAGAAGGCCCCCATCGTCAGCTCTTACTCCACTGAGTTCCCTGCCAGCCGCTTCTACGAGAAGGCCCCCACCGTCAGCTCTTACTCCACTGAGTTCCCCGCCAGCCGCTTCTACGAGAAGGCCCCTATCGCCAGCTCTTACTCCAGCGAGCTCCCCATCTCCAAGCGCTTCTACTCTGAGTCTGCGCTGCCGGTCTCCAGCCGCTACTACCCCAGCGAGTACTACCCCCGCTTCGGCAACTACTTCGACTCCGAATACTACCCCAAGCGCAACTTCTACTACAGCCCCAGCCGCTACTACCGCAGCTTTGGTCACCTCTACCCAAAGGAGGACGCGTACTATTCTGGCTTTTAAGTTTTAAAACCAATGTTTGTTTGAAGAGAACTTGCAAATAAATCAATGAGATGACGTAAGAAACCCCCCTGTTTTCTATGATGGCCCATTTACACCTTCCCTCGTCCATGCACCTGTGTAGTTTTCGAAAGGTTCTAAAAAGTGCTTGCTTTTTTTTCCTTCGAAAAACTTGAACTTTTTCGGAAATTTTACTATAGCTTCTCTACTCTCTTTGCCCTGCCCGCGCAGCTCGGTGTTGGTGCTCCCTTGAGACGCCTGAGCCCCGGCGAGGTGGCTGGATTGGGGTTGCATTACCACGAGCAGTCCAGCCGATTCGCAACCGATCCATCTCCGTGTGGACGCTGGCTGCGAGGGTATTGACCAGACGGTGTCGAGTGCAGTCTTCGGACTGTGTGCTCTTTGTGCTGTGCCTACAGCCTACACTCACCCGGAAACGGGGGCCATGCCCACGGGAAGCACGTAGAGGCGAGGCTTGTGCCTCACGACCTGGTGGGGCGTGGAGCTCCCGGACCCGTTCGAGTCCGTGGACAGCTGTCCGTCGGCGTCCTGGTCCGTGTCCGCGTCCTGCCCCGTGTCGACGCCGGTGTCGGCCTGGTCCGCGGTGTCCGGGGCCTGGCCGTGCTGCGTGGGCGGCACACCGAACACCGAGTCGGAGCCGCTGTCCAGGACGCCGTCGCCATCCCTGCGCAGAACAGGCGGGTTCTGCATGAGCACCGAGGGCGAGCTCGGCGCCACCGCACCCTGGCCGCCGACTCACCTGATGGAGGCCGTCTCGAGAGTCGCGATCCTCGCCAGAGGTGCTGCTGCCTCGCCGTAAGCGATCTCGGCCAGCTCAAAGGACTCGCACGGCGCGCCGTAGGGCAGCACGAGGCAGGACGACGAGTTGGAGTCGTTGGCGTCAGCAGACAGCGCCCCGGCCCCCGGCGGCGGGGGCGGCGGTGGAGGTGGCCCCCCGCGCGGGCAGGCCTGGCTGCCCATGCTGGCCATGCTGCCGGCAGGGCTGCCCGCCAGCTCGGGGGAGGAGTCGATCACCTGCGGGTGGGAGGCGCAACACCATGGAGTAACTGCGAGCACGGGGTGCCCCCCACGGCCGCACGGCCTGGGGCCAGGTACTTACCCCCAGTGGCGTCCGCAGCACGGGGTGCCCCCCACGGCCGCAGGTACTTACGCCCAGCGCCGTCCGCAGCACGGGGTGCCCCCCGCGGCTGCAGGTACTTACCCCCAGTGGCGTCCGCAGCGCGAAGGCCCCCCGCGGGTGGAAGGGAGAAAGCCCCTGGCCGGGGCCCCCGGTCAACGCCTTCCTGGCGGCGCGCGCCTGGCTGTGTCTGCGGCCCCCCGGGGGAGCCTGGCCTTGACCCTGGCCCTGACCCTGGCCCCCCGCGGCTCCGCCCGCGCCCGCGTGCAGGGAGGCCGACCTCGCCCTGCCGCCGCCCTTGGGCTTGGCGGCGTCCCTGGTCCGGATGGCGGGCCCCGCCGGGCAAGGGGGTCCCAGCGCCGCCAGGGAGCCCGCCAGGGACGCCGACGGCGACCCCGGGCCCGGCGGCGGCGCAGCCTGCAGCCGCGGCCGCAGCAGGTCCAGGCGCTGGTCCTGCAGCAGCTTGCTCTCGCGTCGGTGCTGCTGGTGGCGCTGCTGGTGAAGGTGCAGCCGCTGGTGCAGGTGGCGCGTCGGCGGGTTCGGCAGCATGGAGGCCCTGCGCAGCGAGACCGCCGGAAAAGAACATCGTCAGAGGAAAGATGTCTCCATATTTGCAGCCTCGCCACACTAGTAATTAGCCAGTACCCTCGGTCCTCATGGTGACCTCACAGCTCCCTGGCCTGGCCCCCGGGCCACTCGCGGCTCCCGGCGAGTCCAGCTCGACCCGAACGCTCAGGCTCGCCGAGAGCCGCGTCACCCGGCCAGGCGAGCCGCGAGTTTGAGACCCCCGACCCAAGCTTTATCTATAGCTAGAAGGGTCACGGAATTTCAGACCCTCCTCGCCCGCCATGGGCTCGTCATGGGCACAGAATACGACGATCGATTCACCGACACTGTAATCTCTATGGCACGTGTGACCAAAATTTAGCGACACATTTATTTGGGAAAGTTTGGCGACAAAAAAAGAGAAGTCGCCAAAAAGGGAATGTCGCCAAGTATGGTCACAAATGTGTTGCCATAGAGATTACAGTGGAAGCGCGGGCTGATAAGCAAGAGGAAACAGGCGGGACTGCAATACGAGCTCTCCACACCACCAGAATCAGACATCCGGCCTTGACTGGACGATATGATTTTTTTTTATTATTTTCATGACGCATTCTCTACTGTGCGCAGGGAACGAGAGCCCAGGCCAAAATAACCATGGGTAACCATAGTTATCTTGTTCACTAGGAGTCATAATAACGAACATGGTAACTTGACGATGGATTACGGTTTCCGGTTTCTCAACCATAGTTTTCCCAACCTTTAACCATGGTGTCTCATGGTAACCATGGATTACCATGTTGCACAGGGAACATGGTCAGGCAAACACAAGACGGCGACTTTTTCATATTTTTGTCTATTCCCCCCCC